AAAATATAGAATTTATATAGCTGGGTATCCTCACTAAAAAAGAAAAGAATAGTTAAAACAAAATATAAGAAAAAATCTGGCTTCGGCCTATTCTTATTAAAATTTGACATCCGACCTAATGCGATATAAAGTATTTTATTTGATATGAAACCTATTTAGGTAGCTTCATTGTTTTTCTACGTTCCTAATCTGTTATTGTCGTTTGAAAATGATACTCTTTTTAGACAGTACCATATGTGTAAATGTAAAAAATAATAATTGAATTATACATTGAATTTAAATTCAAAATCATTAATAATAGTTACCTGACATCAATTTTATCGATCAATGTAAACAATTTGTTAACCAAATAAACACTCAACTTGTCAAAATCAATATATACGACCACCTCACCAAATAAAATTAAGTCATTACAATTTAACCGCCATCGCGTGACCAATTTTGGTCCTTAAACTCGACAATAATGGTAAATTTTTCTCATGATTATGTTCCTTATAAAAATTATTTATTTTAACTATTAAAGAAAACATAAATTAAGTGGTTAGGAAAAGCTTTCTTAATTTTTGGTAACTATTATGGTTAGTAGTAAATCTACTTCTACTAACGAAAAATTTTAAGGTTTTTTTTAGAAAAATATATTCAAAATTTAATAATCTCGATAAAGCATTTTGTTTAAAAAAATTTTTCAACTTTAAAACTTTACTAAAACTTTTATACAATATTTAAAAATAAAGGATTATACTTTTTGTGTTTTTGATTTGGCAATACTGTTGTAGTGACATGTGTCATAAAAAATGTCACTCAAGACTTCTTATAGTATATTTAGTTTACAGTTTGCCATTTCACCACGTTGATTGCTAAATAATAGCTGAAAGTGTCAAAATTGTGTAAGTTTGACGTTTTTTGCATTAAACTTTGCTCAATGATGATGTGTCAATAAATAAAATCATCGTATCTTTGACAGTAAAAGATCCGTCTCTATAAAATCCACAATTACTCGTTCAAATACTGTTTTTTTATCCATAAAGAATCACAGTCTGGTATGGCAGACCATGACTACATATACAATAGATGGTAAAATTTGAACCATGAAGTTAAATAATTTGATTTGATTAAAATCTCCATCATGAGATTGTTTATAAGTGTTTATTTCCAGAACCATAAAATGGATAACCCATAGAAATGGATAATACATTTTGTGTAGTGAGAAATGTTGATATATTATGTTAATTTTCTATTGAACAAAGCGAATTATTTACTTTTCAGATTTATTTATATAATTATGGAAGTTTATAAAAATAAATGCATTAACAAACAATTTTGGTTGATATTGTCAATCATAATTGCAAAAAACATTTTTGGAAAAAAAGATGAATTCCATACTTCATGTGATGTTCGTTTTATAAATTTCCATTCGAATTCGTCCTTTGATTTGAAATTTTTTCTGTTAATTTATATTTTAATGCTTAAATAATCAAATATACTGAGCTTCAGTTATATTTCGTGTGCAGAGAACACACAAAATAACACAAAATAAAGGATTTTTAGGACTTTCATGCTTGTCGCTTTCAATATTTCACATATTGTGGCTTCGTTAAAAATAATTGCAATATCTCGAATCAACATTCACACACAAATCACATCGACACTTATTCCAGTGAATGAAATGCAAACAGAATAAATTTGCTCCAAACGTTTCATATTTTTTTAATAAAATAAACATTATTTTTATATTTGACAAATTGAAACACACATATTTAATATAATAAAATCATTTGAGCAAAACGAATGAAATTTAAGCAATTTCGAGTTTTAATAAATTTTTTTCGAGAAAATAAATGTTTTTTCAGCTCCTTTCATATCCATTCTGGTATTAAATATTATTGCTTTATATTATTTTGATTATATTATTTTAGAATTTTATTCTTTAGAATATCTACAGTATATTAATAAATACTGAAATGAAAGCAAATCCTTTTTTAATTGTTTTGTTGATTAATTAAACTTTTGAGAAGAAAATATTTTGTGGTATAGTTTGGTTTTATATAAATTCCTTTATATGTCCAATCATTTCTTAAACATCTTGAAATTGAAATAAATGAATGAAATTTTTCAAATTATACAAATATTGTTTAATTTTATTGCCGTTTGGTTGTGAAATATGTATATGAATACATACACAATATAAATAACTGGAAGCATATTAAAATCAAAATATTTTATCCTCATAAAATAATATTTAATTTATGGATAAAGAATATTTTAATATTTCTTTATTATTTTTATTTCCTAATATTTGAAACGGAAAAGAAGTAGATATAAATAAATAATTGAACTAATTTAAAATCAGTACAGATGTTCTCATATATCTGATATTATAAATTAATATTTGTACAATGCTTTATATTTTTTATCTGATATTGCAATCATATAATCGAGAAGAAATTCAAATAACTGCTTTGTTACCTTTTTGACAGATTTTTGCACACTTAAGCTTCGATTTCGGATGTAAAGCTGCATAAAGTCACTCATACGCTCTGATGCCCGCACACATTTTTAACCTTTTAACCTTTTTCTTTTGTTTGTTCTGCTTATTCTTTTTATTTCTGTATATTAAACGGTAATTGTTCAAAGAAATGTCCTTGACCATTTTGGTGTAAACTACTGACCTATTGTGAGGAACATGTATACATTGGGTTAAATGCCAGAGCTTTATATAGAGCACTGTGTAACTATGTTCATACTTCAGCATTTTTAAATAAACTCAGCAATTGCTTACCAACTAGAAAAGAGTAGATACATTACGAAATGATGATAAATTAATGAAATCTATATTTTTGTAAACTGTTAGACGCGTGAATTCATGGAAAATCTGTTATTGGATTATAAAAATTTTATAGTCACTTTATAAAAATTATATTATATTTTCTTCTTATTAAAGTTATTAATGTTTAATTTAGAGAATAAGTTGTCATGCGAAGAAGTATTTGAGTCATTTAATCGGAAGGAAATAATAAATTTAAAGTTGAAAGAGTAGGTAGGAGTAGGTGAAATAAAAGAAAAAATAATTAAAACCATTTGATTATTTATTTATTTATTATTTAATATTTTCAGTAATGTTCCCATGGAAGGTAATTTTAATAATTATACAAAATAAATTTATTTTATCAATACTGAAAACTTTCTGAAATTATTATTTTCTTTATTGCTTGTATTTAGTTTTCCACGAAATTGTACAATAGCTTTTTTATCTAGACAAATATGCTAAATGGTATTATCTAAAATGATATCACTTGAATTTTCGTAAGCAATATATTTCTATATATAATTTACTACACACTTATTATTATACTATATAAACATTATGCAAACATTATTTCCTGCCTTTAAGATCGACTACCTTCTCCGAATTTTGTTGTTTGTTAACTACTGCGTAAGTATTAGATCTTTTTCAAAAATTTTCTTTGTTATGTTGGTAGACCCTTTCTTGACATATGTTACAAATTTGAGCGCCATCTGTCATTTAGTTTGTTTACAGCAGCTATTACTGTGAAACTACCTCAAGTGCATTTAGCGATTTTTACTATGGAAAATTCTTGTTGTACGTGATTTTTTGACCAAACACGGCACCACTGTCATCGCTCAGGCACTATATTCGCCAGATCTGGATCCGTGCGACTTTTTTTCTGCCCCTTCGTGGTAAGCGTTTTGAGTCGATTGAATGAGTAAAAGAGAATTCGCCGA